CTTCCTTACAAAAAAAAAAGATAAAAATAAAAAATTAAAGAGTGTTTTGGTTATCGTGGCTCTTGTCTTAACATATAAATATTAGAATCAATTTATCAAATTCCTCAGAAAATATCTTTTGGGATTTTGATCTGAATTGCATTGAATTGATATATCTCTTTGTAGATAACTGACCTTTTAAAAATATTTAAATCTTTAGTTCATGAATATATGTGCCATATTTTATTTGTCTTTTTTAATGTCTCTCAATAAAGTTGTATACTTCTCCCCATAGAGGACCTGTATATATTTTATGTTTATTTCTAGATGTTATTGTAAACACTAGCTCTTTTTTTATCATATAGTATGTACTACCCATTTTAGAAGAAACTGTTTATAATCCTAATTAGCAGATGCCAATTTCTTTAGTTGTGGCAAAATACACACAACATAAAATTTACTATCTTAACCATTTTTAAGTGTATGGTTCAGTAGTGTTAAGTATATTTATGTTGTTGTGCAACAAATCTCCAGAACTTTTTCATCTTGCAAAACTGAAATTCTATACCCCTTAAACAATAACTCCCCATTTTTCCCACACCCCTAGCTTCTAGCAACTACCATTCTACCTTTTTGTAAATAATATCTTTTTTCTTACTTCACTTTTAAACTCTTTGTTGCTAATAGTACTGCTCCAGTCTCTTATTTCTTGCTGATCTTCTGTGTACTTATTCTCTCAATTATTGATAAAAGCATATTCAAACTCTGATTATTAATTGTGGATTTGTCTGTTTCTCCTTGCAGCCTGATCAGTTTCTGCTTCATATATTTTAAAGTGCTGTCATTAGGTCTATAAATGTTTACAATTGTTTTGTTCTCTTGATGACTTGATCCTTTGATTATTATGGCATAATTCTCTTTATCCTTGGTAACATTCTTTGCTTTGAAATCTACTTCGATATTAATACATCCACCCCAGCTTTCTTTTCATTAGTGAGAGAATGCTATGTCTTTTTTCACCCTTTTTCTTTTAACCTATTTATGTCTTCACATTTATAGCACCATCCTTGATAAAAACTCTCAGCAAACTAGACATAGAAGGGAACTTTCTCAACCTAATAAAGGTGTCTATGAAAAACCTGCAGCTATCCTCATACTTAATGATGCAAGACTGAATGCTTTCTCCCCAAAATCAGTAACAAGGCAAGGTGTCCACTTTAACACTTGTATTCAATATTATGCTGGGGATCCTAGTCAGTAAAGTAAAACAGTAAAAACAAATAAAAGGCATTCATGATTGGAAAGAAAAAAGTAAAATTGTCTTTATTGACAGATGACATGATTCTGTATGTAGAAAATCTGATGGAATATACAAAATGCTACAGGAACAAATAAGTGAGTTTAGCAAGCTTGCAGGATACCAGATCAATATACAAAAATTAATTCTATTTCCATATACTAGCAACAGACAATGAGAAATTGAAATTTATAACGTTACGCAAAATGTGAAATATTAGCTATGTGAGACCTATACACTGAAAACTACAAAACACTATGGAGAGAGACTAAAGAAGGCCTAAATAAATGGAAAGACTTGCCATGTTCATGGGTCAGAAGACTCATTATTGATAAGATGTCAATCCTCCCCATATTAATCTATAGGTTCAATGTAATCTCAGTTAAAATCCCAGCAGGTCTTTTTTGTAGAAAATGACAAATTTATTCTAAAATTCATATAGAAATACAAAGGTTCTTGAATAAATTAAATTACTTTGACAAAGAAAACAAAGTGGGCAAATTAACATTACCTGATTTCAAGATTTACTCTAAAGCTACAGTGATCAAGACAGTATGGTACTGGTGTAAAGATAGGCAAATAGATCAACAGAATAGAATAGAAAGTCCAGAAACAAGAGTCACAAGTATATAAACTACTGATTTTCAACAAAGGTGCATGGACAGTTCAGTGAATAAAGGATAGTTTTTTCAACACATGGTGCTAAAATTGGATGTCCATGGGAAGAAAGAAGAAGCAAGAGAAAGAGAAGAGGAGTAATAACTTTGTTCCATATCTTGCACCATATATAAAAATTAACTCTAAACGGATCATAAACCTAAATGTAAAACAGAAAACTAGACAACTTCTAAAAGAAAATATAGAAGCAAATCTTCATGACCTTGGATTAGACAAAGAGTTCTTAGATATGACATCAAAAGCACGATCTACAAAAGAAAAATTTAATAAATTGGACCTCATGAAAATTAAAAACTTCTGCTCTTTAAAAGACACTGTTAAGAGAATGAAAGAAAAGACCCAGACTGGGAATAAATTCTTACAAATCATATACCTGATAAAGAATTTATACACAAAGTATGTAAAGAACTCTAAACTAAACAAGAAAATAAGCAATCAAATTTTTTAAATCAGCAAAATATTTGAATAGACACTTCATCAAGATCTACAAATGGTAAATAAGCACATAAAAAGATGCTCAACGTCATTAGTCATTAGTGAAATGCAAATTAGAACAACAATAAAATACCACTATACACCTTTTGGAATGGCTAAAATTAAAAAGCCTAATTATATCAAGTGTTGGTGAAGATACAAAACAACACCATTGCTGGTAGGAATGTAAAATGGTACAACCACATTGGAAAATAGTTTGGCGGTTTCTTAAAAAGTTAAGCACACATCCACCAAATGATCTAGCCATTTTAGTCCTAGGTACTTCCCCAAAGAAATTAAAGTATAGTCCATACAAAGACTTGCACAAAAATGTCCATAGCAGCTTTAGTTGCAGTAGTCAAAAATTGGAAAAGACCCAAATATCTATCAACAGGTGAGTGGATAAATAATTATGATATGTCCATAAATAGAGTACTACTCAGCAATATACATAGAGCAATATGGATAAAACTCAGAATAATTATGCTGAATGAAAGAGGCAAGACAATAAAAAAAGGAGTACATGCTGCAGGATTCCATTTACGTATAATTCTAGAAAATACTTATCGATCCAAAGTGACAGAAATCCATCAGCAATTGCCTGGAGATGGGGAAACAAAGGGGCACAAGGAAAGTTTGGGGAGTGATAGATCTATTCATTATCTTGATTGTGGTCATGGTTGCATTGTTGTATATATATTGTTTTCATATCACTACATATATAAAATTTATCAAATTGCATGTTTTAAACATGTGAATATTATTATATATCAATTGTACTTTAAATACTAACCACAAACCAGCTTTTTTTCTGACAGGTCTTGGGATTGATAAGTTAGCAGTGGTCCAGTTGATGCAGGATGGCCTCAGATGAGTCAGCTCAGATCAGTCCCATGTGCTCTCTCATCCTCCAGCAGTCTAGACCAAGCTTATTCTCACGGCAGTCACAAGGGTCCAAGAGGAATAGGGGAGAAGTGCAATGACCCTTAAGGTCTAGGCTTGGAATTGCCCTATTACATTTGTAGGTCAAGACAAATCAAAAGGCCATCATAGATTCAAGGGATAAAAAACAGACTCTACGTCTTGATGGGAAACACTTCAAGGTCATATTTCAAAGGATGTGGATACAGGAAAGGGTGTAGAATCATGGTCATTTTTGCAATTAATTTACCACACCTATTAGGCAGCAGGCATTTCTATATACTAAGCATTACAAATATTACTTCGTTTGATCCTCATTACAACTGAAGTCAAGTAGGTAAAACTCTAATCTTGAAGATGAAGAAACTGAGGCCTAGAGAAGAAGTTAAATAACACGACCACAGTCTCGCAGCCAATCAGTTGCAGAAATGGGATTCAAGCTCTGCTCTGACTGACTGAAGAGCATCTGCTCTTAGTAGTTGTCTTCATCCCTTCTCTTTACTGCTGACATGTTCATTCCAAAAGCCATAACCCATCTGCCCAGGAGTCTAGGCCTCCATCTCAGTGCTACCTCAGAAAAGGCACCAGAAATTGCTTCACAGATGGCTTAGATAAGACGGAGGAGGAGGAGGGCTTTCTCTATTCTTAGTTTCTGTGAATCAAGTTTTATCCTGGGTACTGGATTTAAGTTTAAGGATGAAATCTCTGAAGCAGTCTGAATCTCAATCCTATATCAAATAAAACTTTGTTGTGTATCCAAACACTGCATACTAAACCCCAAAAGTCATTTCACAGTTCATGAGAAAGACTATCCCGTTTGAAAAATTTAAGACTATTTGATCTACTGGAGGTCAATCATTAACATTATCTACCTGTTTGTAGCTGTTTGTATAGGCAATTTCCAGATTGTTAATGAATTGTGTTCCTAAAGTTCACATGTAAGTCAATGATTTAGAAATCAGATTGCATTTTTTCATAGAAATAATACAGCAAATGCTTCCAGGGTAGACTAGTAAACCCCTTTTAACACTTAATGGCTGAAATATAGTGCAAAGAATAAGAGAGTACTTCCCTGCAGTTTTTTAAAAGATAAAGTGTTTCTGAATAAAATGTCTGACAAGTTCCAATTCAGTAGTCCATGAGTAGAATTTTCTTCCTATGTGCCCTCTGAAAATGGAACAGCAATATAAAGATTTATTTCCCAACAGATAGGAACTATGTCACTTGCTTTAGAAGACAGAATCAACTATAGTCACATTTGGTTTTAGATAATTATTTCATCTCACTACATACATAAAGAACATTCATACAACCTGTGCACTAAAAAAAAAAAAAAAATCACAGGGATATTTCCAAATGCAAAATGTAGTTCAGATTTCCTGCACTAAAACTGAAAATAAGAATGACTTCTAAATTTAAGTCCACTGCTCAAAATCCTCCAATGGCACCCCATCTCACTCATGGTAGAAGCCAATGTTATTAAATGGCCTCTTGGGCCCCACATGATCTGCTCTAGTCCCGTTATCTCTGTGGCTTTGTTACCTTTATCGTCCCCCACCTGTCTTGCTCTGTCCCAATGGACCCTGACCTCCTTCCTTTTCCTCAAGTAGGATAAGCTCCTGCCTCAGGACATTTGCTCTTGTTTCCTCTAACAAGAACACTCTTCCCCCAGATATCTACACGGCTCCCTCAACCTCTTCAAGTTTTTGCCCAAATGTCATTTTTCAGCTGGGGCTTTCACCGACCATCCCGTGTAATACAGCAACCACTATCCCTCCTTCTCGCCTCTTCCTTACTCTCATCCTTCTCCCTTACTTCGTTTTTCTCCATATAACTTTTCACTTTAAATACACTGTGCAATTTTCTGTTTGCTGTCTCACTACCATCGCCACTCACATGTCAACTCCGTGGCAGTGGTGATTTTATACCTTTTGTTCCTTTCTGCAAGACCCAACACCTCTGTTCCAGAACACTGCATAAACAATTTTTCTAAATTATTTCATGATCTATTTATTTATACACACATTTCTTTCACGTGTATATTTTTTATTTGACTATCTCCTTTAAGCCTGCTGCGTAAAGGGAATAAATCTCTTTGGGTAATAAATAAAGATAAATCTGCAAATAACTAAATAGATCTCTTTGGGTAATAAATAAAGATAAATCTGGAAATAACTAATGAGCCATCAGAATTACAGATAGAAAATTCACTGTTGCAATAGTTGGTGCAACAGCCTTTAAAATAATCCTTGGTCTTCAAATCATTCTTGAAAAATTCGTGTTTTCTATATTCCTATAGAGCTGCATAAATTTGGTTGAAGCTGTTCTCTAATCAATACTCATTTGGATTGTACAATTGTGTAATGTTTTAGCACCCTGTAGAATTATATCTTCTGTCAATAAACTATTCATTCATGAATAGCATGTATTGTATTATTTAAAACCTAAAATTACATCTGTTATCAAAAAGATCCAGTTCAATGATTTTTGCCATTTGATTTCATTGAATTAAAATTTTACTACTTCTTTAAATCTGCTTTTTATCCATTAATCTAAATAAAAACCAACCTCCATCATTGTCATGAATAAATCTACATCATTACTTCCAAGTATTTTTTAGTATAGCAACTCTGTCATTCCTTGGTGTGATTTCTGTAACACTGCTCTGCTCACATGTTGCTATCTTAACACTCATTTACTCTGATTTTCAATTCATTAGATCTGGTTGGGCAAATACTGTAGACTCCAATCAGGCTGCTATTGGTGCCAAATTGAGAAATGCTTTTGCAAGACTTATAAAATCAGAGGTGGGATATGAATTCAAATTTCTTTTAACTTAGCTTGGGTGCTGAAGAAAATATATTGTGTTCTCCCTATATTCTTACACCAATCATTCACATTTTATAGGTTTAGTATTTAACATCAGCCCTCCCCATCCCTGTCAAGTGTGCATCACTCAGAATACAACCATGAGTTGAACACATTCTGAAACATTCTCTTTTGCAAGGCTCTGATGAATTCTGAAAACTAGAACACAAATGTCATTTAAAATTCTTTTCAATTTAAATAAATCTGTATTGTAACTGACAGTCTATCTTTGATAACTATTTAGGGCATATATTAAAAACTTGTTGAAATGGTACTTCAGTAGCAATATCAAAAGTCTATGGAAATAGAAATCAAATTGAGTGCCTACCATGTATGCAGCCTCATATGTAATAAAAGTATGGACAAGACACAGACTCCACCTCAAGGAAATTATAAGCTACACATATATACAGAAGAGTATCCTACAAGACAAAATATGGTATGTCCCATTAAAATAATATTTTGTTGTTGTTGTTAATAAATATTGACAAATGATGAATAAATAAATGGATATTGTAAACTTCCCTATGAGCATCAAAACTTTCCAAAATGTTCAGCTCCTCTTAAAAATGTTCCCTGTATTCAGTTTGAAAAAATTTGGAACATATGTTCAACTACATGAAAATAATTTACTCCTCCTTATAAACAGCTAAGAAGAAAACATGTTCAGTTCATCATCTCAAAATATGGAAATTCTCTCTCCAATTTTCTTGCAATTATTTTCATTGCTATTCTTTGGTAACTTTAAGAACTCACAGAGTAGCAGTAAATTATACATATATATATATATACACACACACACACACACGTGTATATATATATACACACACACACATATGTATAGTCTTCTCATTTCTCTTCATAAGAAAAGTTAATCCCATCCTTTTCTGTCTAAAACAAGTTTTAGTTATCAAATAAAAGAGTCACCTAATAAAGAGGTTATAAATATGTTTGATAAATATTTCAGCATGGCTTACTGTCATCATAATTTCAAAAAGTATTACTTAAATCTCTACATTAAAACATAAAAGATTGAGGCAAAGCCTCAAGAATTTTAACTCAGATAATAAAATAGACAAAAAATGAGAAACTTCAGAAAGGAAATCAATAAAAATATCTAGGGCATAGAATGTAAATCTATTTTTAACTGAATATTTTCTATTAAAAAAGACAAAATTCCCAATTATTTTAGTGCAGAATTATAATGAAGTTAGAAATATTTAGATAATATTCATCTAATATTTGTCAATTTATAGGTTATTTTCAAGTATCAGAATAATATATTTGAAATCTACCTCTCAAAAAACCTCACATTTCTCTGGAGTTGCAGGTGTCTTCTGAAGATTTGCTTATTGTTTAAAGTTCCTTTGTCTACCAGCATGTAATATTTGACTAGGTATAAATTAAACTACATAGTCTGAGAATCTACATATATGAGGGATTTTACAAATAATTACTTGATTTCAAACACCACCATGGATAGAGTGGTGAATTTTGAGAAAAGTCAAAACCGTGGCATTTGATTGATTGATATCAGGATTCTATCATTGTCGACCTACCCCTCAGGGTTACAAACTAAAGGTAAGATTTCGTTTAAACCAAAAATTAGAGATCAATTATATCTGTCTTCAAATACTTGAAAAGCTGTCATGAGGAGGATGGGTTAGTGTCAACCTGTGGTTGCAGAGAGCTACACTTGGACTAGAGGGAGAAGGATGAGGCAGGCAGATTTCAGCTCAGAATAGGCAAAGGCTTGACTTAGAACCAACTGGAAATGGAGTATGCCATCTTACGATGTGGACATTCCTAGTCATTTGATGCATCTTACCGTTTATTGGGGCTGTTACAAAAGAATTTAGGCTAAAATTTTAGAAACCATTTATCTGGCACCACCATCCGCCTCTCAGAGCCCCTTCTACCTCATGAAACCCTGGTTTATGGCCAGCTCCATTCACCGCTCACCCAAATTTATATTTTACATTTGTTCAATGTGAATTGATATATTTACATTCATGCCACCACAGTGTATAAAGCAGCCCCTTGGTGACACCTAATTTCTAACCAATTTCCATGTATAAATAATTGCCCTTGGGGGTGATGTCTTTGAAGAACCAGCAACTGCTGGCAGCAATTACAGAGGCCTGTGTGGAGCAGAGATAATGAGATACAAGGCTAAAGGCAGATGAAGAAATAGAAATATACTATTATTCTGATAGCAAGTTCCAAGAACTTTTCCTTTTCCTTATTTCTCTTGATAAATTTGCAAAGCAATCTTTGACAGCACCAATATTCTGTCCTCCATCAATGCTCAAGGCAAAGTGTTGTTGAGGTCATCAACAGCCAAAGAAAGATTTTTGTGTAGTTGAGTGGCAGGATATTTTGACACAGCTGTTCCAATAGTGCCATATTGATTTATATGAGTCAGATGTAAAAACACTATTAAAAATTACAAATGATGTTTGCAATAATATCCCTATCCATTACCCTGAGAGAGGCTCACTTCACCCCTCAGCCTAACTTACTCCTAATCCCCACTCCATCCCTCATCCATCCCTGAGTGTCCAGTGCCTCACTCAGAGATGGAAAAACACATGGAGTCAGTTTCAGGGTTGAATGAAGAACAGGGATTGAATGAAGCTCAAGGAGAGAGTCAGGAATAGAGAGTGGATTGTGGCAGGGGTGGAGTGAGGAATAAGATAAGTCAGAATAGAGGGAAGATCTCTAATGTACTTGTTACTTTATAATTTGTAAAATCTTGAAAGTTTAAAGGTCCCTTTTCAACCTAAGTCTAAATCTACCCCCAACCCAACCACTGAGGGAAGCAGGGAAGCTTCCATAGGCTGAGATTTTTGCTGATGCCTCCATGAACTCTGTGGTCCCTTCCAGAAAGTGCACCACTAGGAGAGTGGCTGAGACATGGCATCCCATCGCTAGACTGACCAGGAGTGGTAAAAACTAGAGGAGAAGCAGCTCATCCATTCCTTTCCCTGAAAATGAATGAGTCTTAACCATTGTGCTATTGGATAGATTTGCTACTTAAATTGCCAATAATTATGAGTTCCAGGCTTTTGGGAAACCCCATTGTTACTTATTTGCTTTCACAAAATCACCTTTACTCCTCTTAAAAGAACTCTATTCTGTACAATATTAAAATGAATAAGAATTAAACGGAATTTGAGAGTCTTGAGAATTTTGCAACATGCTTTGAGATAGGCAGAGAGATTCCAAGTTGCTAGCTTGGAAATTCAGTTAGTGACAGTAGCTGAATCTGTAAGAATGCAGAGAAGTGTTATTCTTTGTCTTATTCACTGCTTAATTAATATAGGCTAGAGGGGAGAGGAATGAGCAGGAAATATGAAAGAATGGGAGTTGTCATAAGATTAGTCCAAGTCTAGAGTAGTCAATAGTCCAATGAACAATGTCCAAAGAAGTCTGGTCAATTTGAACCTACTTCCTGCAGATGTCGTGTTCCAAGGAGGTCTACCTTTGTGGGAGAACTGAAATGAAGGAACGCAAAGGACACGATACACCAATTTCAACTGGCTTCCATGAGTTTCATAATTATAAAGCATTCAATCTTGAAATCAAAGAGCAGATGGAATTTATGGAAATTCAGTTGACCTGACATAACATTCATTATTCTTGCAGATCCTAATAATTATTTTAAAAATGTGCATGTATTTTAGTTACATATTCATAAAGCTTATTGTTAGGGTAATTAAATATCTAATTCTTCTTAAGTACAATATCTGAGTCCAATAATCAAACTTTTGAGTTGTCTACACTTATGGGTTTTTAAAGGTACAAACAGACAGTCAAAAGCCTGTCCCTGGGGATTGTGAATGGTACTGTACCATTCTGAAGGAACCTGAAACAGCTAGACATATGAGAAACTATGTTCTTCTGAATATGCAGGCAGATTTGTATCCAGGTAAATGTAATATGCAACAATAATCTAAGTTTATTTCAGGGCTCACATATTTATTATATTATAATAAAGTACATATTAAATATATATCATTTTATGTATTATATGTATTTATGTATCTATATGTAATATAATATACTTTATATTATATGTAATATATGTTATATAACACATAATAAAATCACATTATAACACAAATTTACCATATAATGCTCTTCTACATGACTACAGCTTATGATTATTTATGTGTATTTTTCTATTTCTTTACTCCCACGGAGTTTTTCTCTTCTTGTTCCCAGTCATTTTTCTTTCTTCATAGATGTTTTCCTTCAGTGTGATAAACTTTCATTTTTGAGTCTTGATGTATTTGATCTCTCCTTTAATGTTTCATTAGCATTTATTTTACATATTCTCAGAAGTTCTCAGGGTTAAGCATTCTATAGCTCTTAAAACATTTGAATCTTTGATTACATAAGTAAATACTGAAAATACTGAAAATTCTTTTAGTAAAATATCTTCATAAACAAACTTAATTCTTATAAACATGCTTAAACATTGTATTAAGTTCAAAGTATATGACATCTGTTAAATTTTGAGCTTATTATTCAGAAATTTATACAATTCTTAAAGCAGTTGATACCTACTTCTCACCCTTTGATGTCAACATTTATAAGTTATTAGATATGGCTTTCATAAATTACTAAAGGCCCAATCTAGTAACACAATTTTATAAAAACCACAGAGGTAGAAACCAAAGACCAGCACAGTTAAATCTTGGAGAAACAGGTCTAAGGTTTTTGTTGCTGTTGTTTGTCTTCTGTTTTAATTAAAAGGTAATATCCACCTCCAGGAATAGAGGTCTGTCAAAGATAGAGTATCAGAGTCCCAGTGGGGAGCCAGAGTACTAAGCAGGGCAACTAAGGAAAGTACCAAGTTGTGTGGCCTCATCCAACTCCTCAAGCTCCTCCTAAGCACAAGAATAAACAATTCTGTGGCAGGACCACTGACCGGTAGGGTTGAGGTGTAAAATATGCTTCTTACCTTCATCAGAACTGGCTCAGAATCTGAGCCTCAAGGAAGAAGGTATCAGAAACGACAGTAGACAAGGGCTGGGGAAAGTAGACTGAAAGAAAGTAAAATAATCTTACCTAGAGAAAGATTTGGTGATAACCAATGCTAAAAATTTGCCTCTCAGAAATGAAGTGCTGACCTACTCATCCCTGAGGTCCTTGCAAAGTGTGACTATAAGACTTCTCTGACCCTTCTCTCCTTCCCTCCTGCACCCTTTCTATCACCTTCCCCGCTCCAGAGTTCTACAGAGAAGAATCAAGCTTTGGGCTGAAATATTGCCTTAGTACTTTTAATTCTAATGTTTTATGAGTATAGTGCATCCCACCGGTCTGAAATGAGATTTGTTTTCTACATTAGTTCATTTCATGGATGTGTTCATTTTTTAAAATTATGAATCAAATCCCTTGAAATACTAATGGTGTAAAACTTTATGTGTATTCATGGTGGTTATATTTAAGGGATTGTCAGATCCCAACCCCAATTATGTGTACTTACTGAAAACACATTCACAAATGAGTAGAACTCAAGATCATAAGTTCTATTAATTTTAATGCTCTCAAGATGAGTCAGAATTTTTAAGGAAAATGGCTCACTTGCTTGGATCCATAGCTCTGGAAGTTGTTTTAAATTAGTGAAATTGGTTGTCTTGAAATGTTTAAGTTGATGTAGAATTTTCCTCCCACTTCTGAGGATTCTTCCCAGTGATTAAAGAGGTTTTATATTTTAATACTAAATAAAAATTTTCCCTCAATAACTTATAATATTTTTAATACAATATGCATGCTTTGCCTAACATTAGTTAGTTCAAAATGATGTATAAATTATTATAGATGGAATTTTATTAGTGTTCTAATTTCTTTATGAGCTGCTGTGTTATTTCCCCCACTGCTTGAATCTAAAATATTATGTGACAATAAATATTTAAGAGGATAAATTCCCCAGCAATTTTGGTTAATAGAATTCATCATAACTAAGAAAAATATTACACTAAATATATATTAAGATACATTTCACCAAATCCCAGAATGTTAAATATTCACAAATGCCCTTAAAATTTAAATAAAATATTCTAATAGAATGCAAACTTGTAAAATTTATCATCCAGAGAAAGAAGGAAAGCAAAAAATGTGAGTTGGTTTAGAGACACTTAGAGAAGTTTCATAATCACTAATATTTAACTTTCTACTCATAGTTAAATTCAGATAAATGTGACTCTGCAAATATATATCTATTTTGATGTTAAGGGAATTGAGATAAGGCTTGCCACGACATTTTGCTGATCTCCTTTTACTCATTCAATAAATATATATATCAAGCATGTCCAATGTTTCAAGTGCTGTGTTGGCCCTGAAAAGCAAAATAGACATGTTTTACTCACGTCTAACTCAGCAGTAGCCACTAGTCAATTGTAGGTATTGAGCACTTGAAATGTGGCTCGTCTGAATTGAGATGTGCTATGAGAGTAAAATACTTATCAGATTTAGAAGATTTTGCACCAAAGAAAAAATAAAATATTTCAGTAATAATTTTTATATTGATTGAATATTGAAATGATAATATTTTGGATGTATCAAGTTAAATAAAATATACTATTAAAGTTAATTTCATGTATTTCTTTTCACTTTTTAATATGAATACCAGAAAATTTTAAGCTATATATATGGCTCTCATTAATTTCTGTTAAATAGTGCTGATCTAAGGGAAACTGACAGTAAATGGGTAAATAAAAAATAAATATAAAATTAATTTTATGTTAAAAAACAAAAGCATTTTGAATCTGATACTCAGAAAGTCATGATAGAGCATGTAGTAGGTTGAATAATGGCCACCCAAAGATATCAAGTCCTAATGTTTGGAATTTGTAAATGTTACCCTATTTGGAAAAAAGGTCTTTACAGATGTGATTAAATAAAGGACGTTGAGTTGAGGTGATTACGCTGGATTAGCTGGGTGAGCCCTAAATGTCATCACAAGTATCCTTATAAGAGAAAGGGAAAAGGAGATAACAGATAGAAGAGAGGAGGCACTGTGACTACGGAGGCAGAGATTAGAGTGAGGCAGCTGTAAGTCAAGGAATGCTGACAGCCACCAGAGTAAGCTGGAAGAGGCAAAGAGTGGGTTCTTCCCTAGAGCCTCCAGAAGGGGTATGGCCCTGTCAAGACCTTGATTTTGGCCTCCAGAACTGTGAGAGAATAAATTTCTGTTGTTTTAAGCCACTCAATTTGTGGTAACTTGTTGTAACAGCCCCAGGAAACTAACATAGAGCATAATAGTGGGAAGAGGTGGTTTGGAGTGGCATTTAAAGTAATTCGGGAGAGAAAGCTACTTGAATGAAATCATCAGGGAAAGTTTATCTGAGAAAGCTATACATAAGAGAGATTTAAAGAACAAGAAAGTGCTAACAATTTGAAGAGACTGGGGAGAGTATTCCAGTCACAGGGAACAAGATATGGGCAGGCTCTGAAATGAGAAAAAGCTTCATCTCTTCTAAGAACAGAAAGAAGGCCAAAGTGTCTAAAAACGTGGTGAGCAAAGGGAAGCATGACTCAAGAAAATGGAGAAGTAAGTAGGAGCCATGCAGAGCCATGTTTGCCATGATGAGGAGTATAAATTTTATTTTAATTATAATAAACTGTATTAAGTGGGAGAGTATCATGGTTAGATTTATGTTCAGATAAAGACTTCTGTGGCTGATTTGTAGGACCTGTGTTGGAAGGAACAAGTGTAGAGCAGGAAAATCAATTAGGAGGCTATTGCAGTAGACCAGGCAATAGATGTTAATAATCTGGACCAAGCTGGTGATAGTAGAGATGATGAGAAGCAGAAGAATTTGAGATATATTTTGAAGACTGAATGTAGGGAAATTGTATGAATTGAGTGTAGTGGGTGAGAGTACCCAGAATAAAATATAACTCCTAGGTTTCTGACTAGAACAACTAAATAGATTATCAAGATGGGGAAGACTGGAAGAGGAGCAGTTTCACAAAAATTTATGAGTTCATTTGCAGTTATGTTAACTTTGAAGTGCCTGTGAGATACCAAGCAGAAAATATATACCAAGTGTATACCAAGAAGAAAAATATATGAATTTATATATGAGTTTTGAGGTTCAAGGAGAACACTAAATTCAAATCACAAATTTAGAATTCATCACTAGGTAGTGGCAAGTAAATCCATGAGCAGGGATAAGATGATCTAAAGAAAGAAAGTAAAGAGATAAAAGAAGGGGGCCTAGGATTGAGTGCTGAGGAACTCTAAAATTTAGAAATTAGATAGAAGAGGAAATGCCGAAGAAGAAAACTGAGCAGGAAAGGCCATGGAGGGAGAAAATGGCTAGAAGATTGCAATATCACAGAAGCCAAGGAAGACTACTTTGAAAAGAAAGCATTCTCAAAATGAATAGTGCTGAGAGGCTGAATAGGAATAATGAGAGGAAAATAGCCACTGGATTTGACATAATGGAGATCAATGGAGATTTTGTCAAGATCCATTTTCATAGAATACTCAGAACAGAAGTCACAATGGTATGAGTTGAAGAGTGAAAATATTGATTTTGTTATATGGTCTGAGGTAAAGAGTGAAGAGACTGATTTTGGTATGTGGTCTGACATAAAGATCCAATTTTATTGTTTTCATTATGGATAGCAATTGAGCTTAAAAACAGGTAAAACTGAGGAATACTTTTTATGATGATGCATACTTACGTGGAAAATTATTTTCAATGTAAGCAAATTATAAATGCAAAATGTGGGCTGGTAGTTAACTCTTGCAGAGCAAGCAAAGAGATGAGATTGAGGAGCAGCACTCAAGTATCTTCAATGGAATTGATAATGTTCTGGTCATTAGGTTGGTCACAGCTCATAAGAATTTATTTCATAATTATTTCATAATCTACATTACAGTCATACATTTTTATATATAAAATATAATATAAACAGAGGATTCTGGGAAGATGATGGAGTAGGAAGCACCAAGAATCTACCTTCTCACCTAGACAATAATTGTACTGGCAGAATCTATTTGATATAACTAGTTTAGAACTCTAGAGTATATTGAAGGCTTGCAACTTCCAGGGGAAGGCTTGGACAGTAAATTATGGTTAATTTTGGTCAATTTCAGCTCTTAGCTCAGCAGCAGCTACCCATTCCCCACTTGCCACCTCTGTGGCAGGCAAATGTGCACATGTTCCTGGAGCACTTTGCACATAGCTTTCAGGAGTTAGGTGAGCAATAAAGACCCTGTCCTCCAAACAGCAAAGATCTGTGTTCTGATCACTGATACCTGCTTATAATCACAGAGGTGCAGACACAGACACAGGCAGCCATTGTTTCATTCCTTCCCCATTGTTGCAAGTTCCTTCCCTTCAGGCTGAAGCAACTTCCAGGGGATTTAGAGGGCTGGTGTCTATTCTCCCCCTTCATTTTCTCTTTTTCCCTTTTTGAGCATCAGACATTCAAGACTAGGACATTCAAAAGCACTGCCTATACAGAGAAAATTAAAAAGTCACCCTGCATGCACAAGGAAACGTGCAGGCTCAGAAAAGACCAGAGAAGATCCTAAATTTACACCTCAGGCTGATCCTTGGCAAGAGACAGCCTACAACAATCAAAACAAAAACAAAAAATAGCAAACCCTGAGGAAAGGGGAGAATTTGATTACCATCATTACCACATTATTAAATTTAAGGTCCAGTTTTCAACAAAAAAAATCATAGGGTATACAAAAGAAGGAAAGTGTGGCCCATTCAAAAGAAAAGGTAAGCCAATAACAGAAACTATACCTGAGAAAGAGCAGATGGTGGACCTACTAGACAAAGACTTTAAAACAACAGTTTTAAAGATGAGCAAAAAACGAATGGAAATGTGGAGAAAGTCAAGAAAACAATCTAGGAAAAAAATGGAAATATCAATAAAGAGATAGAAAACCTAAAAAAATACTAAAAAGAAATTCTAGAGCTGAAAAGTATAATAATTAAAATGAAAATTTTACTAAAGGGATTCAAAGGCAGATTTGAGCAGGCAGAATAAAGAATCAGTGTACTTGAAGATAGGACAACAGAAATTATCAAGTCTGAGAAACAGAAGAAAAAGATTGAATAAAAGTGAAGCGAGCCTATGGGACCTATGGGACCTATGGGACACCATCAAATAGACCAATATATGCATTGTGGGAGTTCCAGAAGGAGAAGATGAGAGAAAGGGGCAGAGAGATTATTTGAAGAAATTATGGCCCAAAACTTCCCAAGTTTCATGAAAGACAAATATAAACCACAAGGAAACTCAACAAACTCCAAGTAGGATAAACTCAAAAAGATCCACGCTGAGACATATTATAATCGAACCTAAAGACAAAGACAAAGACAAAGAGAGAATCTTAAAAGTAAGAACAGAGAAGCAACTCAGCACATAAAACGATCTTCAATAAGATTATCAGTAGATTTTTCATCAGAAACTTTAGGTGCCAGAAGGCAATGGGCTGAAATATTCAAAGCACGAAAAGGAAAAACTGGCAGCCAGGAATCCTGTATCGGGCAAAACTGTCCTTCAAAAGTGAGGAAGAAACTGAGACATTCTCAGATAAACAAAAACTGATGGAATGTGTTACCACTACACCTGCCCTGCAAGAAATGCTAAAGGAAATCCTGTAAGTTGAAATAAAAGGATACGAGCCAGTAACTCAAAACTGCATGAAGAAGTAAAGATCTCAGTGAAGGTAAATACATGGACAATTACAAAAGCTAGTACTATCATAACAACAGATTGTAACACCTCTTTTTGTTTTATACATGATTTAAGAGGTTAATACATTTTAAAAAATAATTATTTGTCTAAAAACTATTATTACTGTAACTTTGGTTTGTAACTCCACATTTCTTTTATATAATTTAGAGACTGAGGTATTTTTAAAAAATAATTATTAATTTATGTTTTTGGATACACAATTTATAAAGATGTAATCTGGTGACATTAATAACTTAAAGGGGTAGAGAAGGGGCTGTAAAGGAGCAGAGTTTTTATATGTTATTAAATTTAAGTTGGTATAAATTCAAATTATAGTGTTATAATTTTAGGATTTGAAATGTAATCCCCACAGTAACTACAAAAACAATAGTTATAGAATATACACAAAACAGAATGAGAAGAAAATTAAAATATTTCTCTGCAAAAAAATCAACTAAACACAAAAGAAGACAATAATGCAAGAAATGAGGACAAAACTACTACAAGGCATATAGAAAACAAATAGCAAAATGGCACAAGTAAGTCTACCTTATCAGCAATTACCTTAAATGTAAATGGATTAACCTCTCCAATTAAAAGACAGAGATTTGCAGAATGGATTTTTTAAAAAATGATCCAACCATATGCTGTCTACAAGAAAATCATGTTAGATCAAAATATATAAATAGGTTGAAAGTGAAAGGATGAAAAATGTTATTTCATGCAAATATTAACCAAAAGAGAGCAGATTGGCTATACGAATATCAAACAAAACAGACTTTAAATAAAAAATGAGTTTACAAGATACAAAGAGGGACATTATATATTAATAAAAGGTTCAATAAAGCAAGAAGATGTAACAACTGTAAACATTTTTGCACCTAATAACAGACCATCAAAATGTATGAAGCAAAAATTGACAGAATTGAAGGGAGAAATAGATCTACAATAATAGTTGGGGACTTCAATATTACACTCTCAATAATGGACAGAACAACCAGACAGATGATAAATAAGGAAATAGAAGACTCGAACGATACCATAAACAAACTAGACTTAACGGACATATACAGAACTCTCTACCCAATAATAACAAAATACACATTCTTCTCAAGTGCACACAGGACATTTTCCAGCATAGAACATATATTAGGCCACAAATTAAGACTCAAAAGATTTAAAAGAGATAGATGTCATACAAAGTATCTTCTCTGATCACAACAGGATAAAGTTAGAAATCAATAACAGAAGAAAAACTGGAAAATTCACTAATTCATGGAAATTAAACAACACACTCAACAACCAATGAATCAAAGAAGAAATCAAAAGAGAAATTAGGAAATACTTAGACACAAATAAAACCCAAACCACAACATACCCAAACTTATGAGATGCAACAAAGGCAGTGCTAAGGGGGAAATTTATAGCTATAACTGCTTATATTTAAAAAAATAAGATCTCAAATCAACAGCCTAATTTTACAAAATAAAGAACTAGAAAAAGAAGCTAAACTCAAAGCTAGCAGAAGGAAGTAAATAATAAAGATTAGATCAGAGATAAATAAAATAAAGACTAGAAAAACAATAGAGAAAATCAATGAAAACCAAAATTTGTTCTTCAAAATTGATAAACTTTTAGCTAGATTGACTAGAATAAAGAGAAAAGACTCAAATTATTAAAATCAGAAATAAGAGTGGGGACATTACTATTTATTTTATAGATATTAAAAGGATTATGAGAGAATACTATGAGAAATTGTACACCCACAAATTGGATGACCTAGATAAAATGGACAAATTCCTAGAAACACAAAACCTACCAAAACTGAACCATAAAGAAATAGATAACCTGAATAGATTTCTAACCAGTAAAGGAAATGAATTAGTATCATAAAAAAAAAATCTCCCAGCAAAGAAAAGCCTTGAGGCTGACAGCTTCACTTGTGAATTCTACCAAACACTTAAAGAATTAATGCCAATCCTTCTCAAACTTTTCCAAAAAACTGGAGGGAACGCTTCCTTACTCATTCTATGAGGCAAGCACTGCCCTGATACCAAAACCAGACAAAGACACCACAAGAACTACAGACCAATATTTCTTATGAACATTTATGCAAAAATCCTCAACAAAATGCTGGCAAAGAAAATTTGGCAGCATATTAAAAGGATTATATACCATAACCAAGTGGGATTTACTCCGGGAAGTGTTCAACATATGAAAATTGATTAATGTAATATACTATATTAACAGAATGAAGGAAAAAAACCACGTGATATCTCAACTGATGCAGAAAAAGCATTTGACAAAATTGAATACACTTTCATGATAAAAACTTTTAAAAAACTAGCACTAGGAAGAAACTACCTCAAAATAATAAAAGCCGTATATGAAAAACCCACAGCAAACATCATACTCAATGGTGAAAAAAATGAATGTTGTTCCTGATCTTGGAGGAACCTCCAAAACATTATGTGAAGTGAAAGAAGTCAGACACAAATGATCACATATTGTATGATTCCACTGATATGAAATATCCAGAATAGATAAACCCAAAGAGACAGGAGGTATATTGCTGGTTGCCAGGGGCTCCGGGGAGGGCGCTAATAGAGAGAGACTGCTTAATGGGTAAAAGGTTTTATTTTGGGGTGATGGAAATGTTTTCTAACTACATACAAGTGGTGTTTCAGCAACATTGTGAATGGAGGAAATGCTACCGAATTGTTCACTTTAAAGTTAACTTATAGATTGTGAATTTCACCTCAATAAGTTATTTAAATAAATAAATAAATAATAAAATGCCAAGAGAAATCCGTCCAAGCTACTCTGAGCCACAGCAGTCCTCCTGAGGCTGAGACTGGCCAGCTGGGTGAAGAGAAGTCTCCGGAGGCACAGAAAGCTGGCGGCAGGACTAGAGAGCAAAGGGGATCCCAATGGCAATTAAAGCTGGTAACTGGGATCTCCGGAGTCTCAGCAAACCCTGTGGAAGTCCATGTCTTGATCCCAGCACCAAAACATTTGAAGCCAGTGTGACTGCACATGAGTAAAGCTGGGACAAAACCCAGATCCAGCTCCACTATAGGTTAGATTGATTTAGTCCCTCATACTGGCAGCCTGACAGAAGAAGCAACCTTACTTTTACAGTGGTAAATATTACTCATACTGTGCTTTTACATACAATGCCTGGCAGGAAATAAAAATTATGAGACATATGGAGAAACAAGAAAAACATGACACATGATCAAGAAAGCAAAAAAAGTAATAGAAGCAAATCCGGAGAGGAATCATATATTGGATTTATCAGATAGGAGCTTTAAAATCATTTTGATACATACATTAAAGGACTTAGTATAAAAGTTGGGCAACATGTGTGAACAGATAAGGAATTTTAGCAGAAATAGAAACTATAGTCAAGAAGCAAGTGGAAGAACGCGCAGGGGCGAGAATTAAATTGTACCGATGTAAGGTTCTAACGTTATTCATACCTTTTAAATATAAAGGGTTTGTCTTTAAACTATATTATCTTTAGAGCAACTACTAAAAGTATACAAAGAGGAATTGATAAAAAGTGAACAGAGGAAATAAAAAGAAACACTAAATACAATGATTCACCCAAAAGAAGCAGGGAAGAAGGCATAGGAGGACGTGGAATGGATATAGGACAAATAGAATCAAATACCAAGAGATAGACTGAAATCCAAGCACATGCATAATTACATTCACTTTAAATGGACTGAGCATTCCATGTACAAGGCAAAGATTGTCAGATTGGATGAACAACAGGAAGACTCAACTCTTTGCTGTTTGGAAAAAACATACTTTAAATATAAAGACAGATAAGTTGAAAGTAAGAGTTTATCATATATTCCCCATTACAAAATTTAATTATTCAAATATAAAATATGGAAAATATGGAAAAAACAAAACCCTCAAAAATATTTCATGTAAAATCCATAGATAACTTT